CAAAGCACTGATTAAAGCAGGGTAAGATTATAAAGTAGGTCGAAGGAGGAGAAAAAGAACGATAAAAAGAAAAAAAAAAAGAAAAGAAAGAAAAAGGGGATCCTTCCTCTTCCCTAAGAATCAGCAGTAGGCAAGCCTATTTCAACAAGAGTCCATGGCCAGCCCAGCCCCCCTCTCGTCCCCCCGAACGGCACCCCAAACGGCAGCGACCCCTTTGGTTGCCGCCCTTCGGCCGCCGGCCCGTGGCCGCCGGCCCCGGCTGTTGCCGCGGCTTTGACTCCGCAGGGCGCCTCCAAGACTGGCCCCGTCGCGCACCGCGTGCACCCGATCACCTGGGCCGGCAGGCGGTGCTCTCCGGCGCCGCGTGCGCCCGCGCTGGCCGGTGGAGCTGGCTGCCGTCGAGGTCGCAGCCGCGTGCGTCTGCCTGCATTCGCTTGAGGACATCAGTTTGCACAGAATTTGCATGTGCTGATTCATACACATATATGAGCATAAATACATTACTAATATTTCACCAAAGGCAAACCAATCATCACCATTACTATGGTTGTGGTATTATAGCTATACCTCATTCTGTCAGCTCTGCTGAAATAATTAATTTTCCCTCCTCTTCCCTCCCTGTGCCTTCCATGTAAGTGTGTTTTTTGAGATTGGAAGCCTGCAGGCAGGGAATGCCTTGTTTAATTATATGCAAGCCTTTCTGGGAGCTTTGCTTTTGGCTAAGGAGAGGCATGGAGGAGGGTAGAGACCTATTCTACCCTGCAGAGGAGGGCAGGGTGTGTTGCAATGGAGCCAAGCTCAAGGAACCAAGATGCTGGGAAGCACTTCCTGACAGTTAGGACCCCGAGGGTGTGGAATGGGCTTCCACAGGAGGTGGGTTGAGGCACCAGCGGTGAGGGTGTTCAAGGATAGGCTGTTCATGCACATGGTAGGCATGTCATGAGCGAAGCCAGCTGGAGCCAGGGGTCAGACTAGATGGCCTGGGAGACCCCTTCTGACTTGCTCTGTTTCTGTGTTTCTTTGAACAACAAATACAGAAGTTGTTTGAATTACATAAAAAAAAAAAAAAACCTCGCTCTTTATTTTCTTTTCCCAACAGCCTTTACACACGGCACAAAAAGCTGTGTGCAAGTCCACAGAATAGAAACGTGAAGAAGTGGATGAAGCAGAAGGTCGAGAGTCACGAAAAGATGGGTCATCAAACCAGGAAGAAAAACAAAGGCAAAAAGAGAAGAAAAAATATGAAGGAGCACTAACATGTGGATTGCTGAAGCCAACATGAAGATACCACCATCTGTACTCTCCAGTAAATTCAGCACATATTGCATAATGACACTGCCAATGTGGATATTCAATTTCTCAGATGTTTTGATCTTTCCCTTTTGAACTTACTCTGCAATATCCCCCGTGAACTCAGATCAATCCCTGCTCTGAGCTTACTTAACTATTCATTTCCAGGAGAGAGTGTGTCAATCCTTACATGCAGTGATTTTCCACTTGCTGCATCTATCAATTTGTAGGTTGGGACTAGCATGAAGTTTTATAAGCCTTTCTCTCTGTCATCTCTCTCCCTCTTAGCTGCCAGCAGGGCCTCTCTCTTCAGTGCTACCCTATGCCCTGAAAATCACAGATTGAGAAACCACAATCAGCTTGTCATGAATTGGAAAGTTTAAGCTTGCCAAAATTATAAAATAAAGGCCTTAAAATGCTCTTCCCCAACCTAGTGCCCTTCAAGTGTGTGGGACTTAAACTCCTATCACCCACACTATTTAGGGATTATAGGATTTGGGATCCAGTACACTCAGAAAGCATGAAAGGCTATCCTAAGAAACTGACCTGGTGAATAAGACACAATAAGCCGCAATGTCATGTCAACATGGTTTGCTGCAGTGTCTGAACACAGTGTAGACGCTTTAGCGTGGTCTGTTAAGCACACAGAAGCCTCCCTGAGAGACCTTGGCTTGTTCCAAATAGCCTCCCAACTGCCTACCAAGAGCAGTGAAAAACATGGCCACTTCTTCCCAGGTTGCTACTGCAACTACAGACCCTCCACTGATACAGAATGGCACTTGGGAATGTGTTCCAACCCCTTTTAAAGAACAAGTTTTTGATGTTCAGGGTCACTTTTTATTTTTTGTGTGCATTTGCACTCTTGTGAATGAAAGAAAAAAAATTTTTTTTTAACGATCACAATATTGTACATGATTACCACTCCTGCAGTAATTACAGCCACCCACTCCAGTAGCTCCATTCCGTTCAGGCACCATTTTCAGAGTCTGGGGGGCAAGGAAAATTTCTAACCAGAGGAGAAACTGAGTAGTGTCAGTTCAGAATGTATAAAATGCATAAAATTGGTGAGTGTGATTTCAGCTCATACGGAGAGAATACTGTGATTTCGCCTGAAGAAAGAAAATAGCAGACAGGTGAAGAAGCATAGATGTCCACTCGTGAATGACAGGAAAAGGAGCTGTGTGTTTTAAAACCCTATTGGCATACTACCAGAGTGCCAACATTATTTAAAGAAATAAACAAACCCATTTGTGTACTTCCAAAGCACCAGAAGGAGGGGGAGAGGGGAAGGTTGTAAATGGGAAAAGAGCTTACAAGGGCAGCAACTGAAACCAGAAAAGTTTCCCTCTGAAGAGACCAAGATAGGAGAGTGGTTGAGCTGTAAAGGCACACAAGGTATGTGCTGGGAGTGAGTAAGGGGCAGCAAGCCATGGCAAACTGCAGAGTACCTGCTCATTTGTCAGAATAGCATGAATTAGCAAGTAAACAACCAAACCACTGTGGTTTATGTTCATGGTGGCTTCTCATGCCATGTGGACAGGCCCAATTTGCTGAAAATCTTCAGCCTCTCTCTTATTGTTCAAGACAGTAGCTGGGGCTGGGGGCAGGGGAGGGGGAGAAAGCAAAAGTCAAGAGAACCCCTGCAACAGATTTGGAAGGCAGCCATGGCTGTTGATGTAGTAAGAGGCCACCGCTCAGCGGCAGAGCACACACCGTGCAGGTCCAAGGGCCCACATCAATTCCGCACAGGTCAGCTAACAAGAAATTGTTCTTTTTCCTTCCCCCTGGGATACAGAACTGAAACCCTCATTCTCCTTTCCCTCCATACATTCTTCACGTTTCTTTCATCACATCATTATCCTTGACATTTGTATAGCACAGGGCTGGGCAACTTGTGGCCCTCAAGATATTGCTGGACTGCAGCTCAGCCTTAGCCAGAAGAGCCAAGAGTGAGGGATAACGGCAGGTGTAGTTTAACAGCATCTGTGGGACAACAAGTTGAGCACTTTCACATGCTCAACGCTCTTACATACACTACATACATTATCTAGTCTTGGACTCTCCAATAGTCATGCACGCATGCATGCATTTATACTTCCATTTATACGCTGCCCGAAGTCTCAAGGCGGCTTACAACGAAATATGGAGCCTATGGGCAGTAGGACAACTCTCCTAGTAACCAACAGGCTTCCTGCCCCTCTTGATTTTTATTTTACTTAAGATTATTTAAGTACTATGCTAAAAAAGATGGGACACTGTCTTGCTGCAAAGTGTTACCCTCCAGCCTCACCTGAAGTTGACTTTGTCCTTCGGTTCTTGGACAAGTTGCTTCACTTTTTGTCTCTGGAGTTTCTGGGAAACCGAATGACAATGCCTGAAGCCGAGACAGGATGGCCTGCCTACAGCCAGAGGCAAGATCCGGACAGGGGACTTCTTGGTTTATGTACATGGTGTGGAAAAAGTGGACAGGCACATATCTCCACTTCCCTCTCATGATACTAGACCCTGGAGGCATCCCATGATGCTGACTGGGAAAAGGAACATGGCATGGTTGAATTATGGGGATCCACTTCCATATGAGAGAGCCACGACCACCAATTTGGATGACTTTAAAAAGGGATTGGATACACTCCTCCAGGATGAGGCTATTATTTTTTAGAACCCCCTTAGGACAGGTTCATCCAGCCCTCTTTCCCTTTGCCGCTTCTGCCCCTTTGCTTACCATTTCCCCCAGCCCCTAGCCTTGCTATTTCCCTCTGCCTCTTTAAGCCGACTGTTTCTCTCTCCCCTAGACTTTCCCTGCCCATTTGCCTTCTTATTCACACTCCCCTTACAACTCCGTCTTCTTGCCTTACCCTTTCCTCCCCTCTGCCTTGTTATGCCTTGCTGCCTTCCAGCAACCAGCTTCACTGCTTCTCTCCTCACTTCTTCATCTTGCTGTTTCTCCTCTCCCAGTCTCAGTCCCCGCTCTTTCCCTTTTCTTCCCAGCCTTCACCCTTGCCATTTCTCCCTTTCCCCCATAATGTCTTTAGTTCACTTTTGGCTGGGCCCGCCCTCCTCCACCTTATGTGAATAGCTGTATCCACCAGGAGAACCATGGTCTGGTGGTGCCCACAGCAGTTTCTCAGATTCCTCAAGGTGTCCTCAGCCAGGTCCCAAAAGACTGGGGACCCTGCACTACAAATCTGTGCATAAGCCATCCCTCTTTGCAATCAGTTTCATTGTGTTAGCTACATTTCTGTGCTGTCCAATAGCCAATGCTCTCACTTTTCCTTTCTTTGCTTTGTTTTTGTTCTTGCCTTGTGCTCACTTTGCCAAAGCTGATTTCCATGCATCTTCCGAAGGTTTCCCAGGGCATGATCAATCCTCAGTGGCCTCATTAAAACAGAGGAGTGAAGCAAACAGATAGCAGTGATAAAGGAGCTCTCTGAAAGCTATTTGCTGCAATTTATGAGTTTAAAGCCACAGGAACAAAGCCATAATCCAGTTATTGCAGATAGGTGTTTCATTAACAAAGCATTTGTGAGGTGGAAAACTTTCAGTGGAAGTCATTTAGGGGGTGTGGGTGGGGAGGGAGGCTTAACAGGTTCCATACATCATAGCATTGTGGAACTCAAAAAGAGAAGCATAAAGGTTGACCATCACAGCTGTGCAAAAACTCACACTTCCTCTCTTGCACTGAATAGACAGATGGAGTCTAGGTGAATGACAGCACCACAACATTCTTAGTAGCTATCAATCTGCTGCCTCACATCAGTTCCCAAGAAAGAGACACTTGTACCGGCAAGATGCCTTCAGAGAATGCTCCTAAACCTGCCTGGATCACTTCAAAGCTCACTCCTAGCCCTCAGCTTTGCCCCTTTCACTTTTTCTCAGACTTTCCAAAGGCTGCAGTTTCTTGCCACTTTCCATAGTGGTTCAGTTCAGTTCAGTTATCATTGTACATCTGGGAAGCTTAATTTGAGAGCATTCTGTGCACTTGCAAATATCACTAATATCAATGATGTTTACGGTGGAATAAGCGTATTTAGGACAGCAGCCAAAGTTTGTCCAAACGATCACTAATACTTTGCAAGCTGCCCCAGGACTTGATGACTCTCTTCTCTCAAGACTTTAAATCATTGGCTTAGAATCCCATTTTGTCATAATATATGCAAATAAAACTACGCAACTTTTTGACGCAAATACTATTTCCTAGAAAAGAAACCCTGTGGTGAATTAAGGTAACCTTGGACCAGTTAACCTGCTTGAACCTTCATTTATCTGTTTTTCAAAGCAAACAGAGGGCCATCCTTCCTCCCACTCTGCGGCACATGCTAACGCCCAAGGGCCAAAATCCATTTTGTATCACTTCACTGAGGCCACATTCAGTGGTGGTGGTGCGGGGCGCAAAAGAGGAGAGGCCAAAACTGAAGAAAATGCTATCGTTTTGCAGCAAGCTCTTCCTGCCAAGTTACAAAACCTAAGCAGAAGTATTTCAGCCTTTTGGAGTAGGGGAAATGCACAAAAGCCAGGAAAATATTTAACAATAGGTGGTTGGAGTGAAGAGGGTAGATCCTGGAAAAGTGGGACTAGTCATCTGTTTGACCCCCAAGAGGACTGAATTCTCCCTGCTACCTCTGTGTTAAGGCTACCTCTGTGTTAAGGTCCCTGCTACCTCAGCAAACTCTGTGATTAGCCAAGTTGCATTCTAACCATTCATTACTGAATTACGCCCAGAGATAATCTTGTTTCATCAGTGATGAATTATGGCTTGGAGTAGATGATTAGATTTAGATTTATAGTGGTTGGATAGAGGATCTGATACCAGTTCTTTGCATCTTTTCTACGGTGAGATAAAGAACACCCAGTGAGCTTTTATGGATGAATTCCCTGACAAATCTGGCAGGAGACTCTCCTTATGGAACTCATCTACGATTGCATAGCTTAAGTCAAAATGTGGCTCTTCCAGAGCCTGCATTCTGGCTTCTATTTGCCAAGAAGACCAGCTTCTACTAGCCAGCTGTCAGAGCCTGAAGGTATGGCAAGGGCTTCAGT